AAATCAGCTGCGTTCATGATCTAAAACATGTCGGAAAACTGCTGGAAACGGACTGCAGCGCCAGGCATGTCAGCTCAATTTTTTCCAAGTCCACAGGTGGCGGCCTGTCAGTCTGAAGTTGGCCACATGGGGTGATGGGGGCTAGGTGGCCTTTCATTAACCCTGTAAAGCAGTGAACTTCAACTGACGGCCCATGGGCTACATCCAGCTTGCCAGTTCTTTTCACCCGGTCCCCCAACCTTTTGGACCCTAACGCCCACAGACATTAAAGTTTAGCAGCAAAATTCTTGACCCAAATATCAATAATTGTTTATGTTCTCCAAACACAACTAAAACTACTAGCAAAACAGTTCAGATGGAAAACAAAGCCATTTAAAATATTGGTAACACTTTAAAATAAAGGGCTCTTTATTAGCATTACTTAGTGCATCATTAAGCATTAACAAACAAAGGATGCCTTTATTAACGTTCCTTATATTAAATTGTCCTTAAGTTTAAAACAAAGGGCCAGGGTAGGTGTCTGCTTAATAATGCAATATATGATATTAACATTATTAGTAAGCAGTTGTTAATACTTTATTTAATAGTTTATTAATGCAGTAAGTAAAGTTAATGAAGGGACCCTTATTGTAAAGTATTACCAAAATACTAGTAAATTAAGATACAATAATACTCGAGTATCTGACCCTCATTGAGTCTGCTGTGTTCATGTCACAAAACTCACTCAACATTAAAAAAACAAATCAGCTGATAGGATCTGGCTTTAAAATAATTAATAACAGAGCCTGATGGGCATGTTGGCTGCGTTACCTTCTAGAATATGAACAAGTTATTGAAAATATTATCTTAAAAGAACCATTATTAACGTTATTTTGAGCAGAACTCCGAACAGATCCTTCTAACTGTTTCTGTTCCCCTGCTGGAGAGTTCGTGGACAAACAATTGATTTATGTTGTAAAAGTCAGAAGTTTACAGTGTACATATACCTGCATGTAAAACTTTATTTCAAGTTTCAACCATCTTTCTTGCCTTCTCATTGTGCGTTGTTGCCCAAAAGTTTAGATTCTTTCTTTTTTAAATTATCTCATTAAGCAAAAAAATGTCAGAGGTCAAACAAAAATTATAATTTAATGTTGAGATCTGGTTGTGAAGTTGATGAACAGTGTTTTGAAATGCTTTTTGTCATGTTATTACAGAGGCTGCATACCTCTTTTTGTATCTCCCACGGAGCGCTCCTTTTAATTTGGTCTAAAGAAAGGTCAAGATTCCACAAGCAGTCATTCACCAGCATTGACCTTCGCCACTTGGCTGAGGTCTGGCAAGATTAATTCTTTGTGTCTTGCCTTCCCTCAATGAGCCACGTTCATGTTTGCCACAATGGAGCCGAGCAAACACAGGAGCAAAGTGTGTGTGTGTGTGTGTTTTAAAGACATTGGTGCAAGCGTTTTAACAGGGCGACTCTGTTTGAATTAGATGTTCTAACCCCCCGCTCGCTAAATGGATTTCCAAAGTGGCTGTAGTTGGAGGCTTTCAATCGGATGCAACCTTGAGTCCTTTTTTATGTGAGCTTTGTAGGATTTAAGTGCCGGTATAACATGAGCACGACTGAATGCCTGCTCCTCATTTTTTGAAATTGAAAAATCTCCAAAGGCTCTACCCTTTGTGCAGGCAATTAATGGAATGCTGGCAGCGAGGTTCAGGTGCTTAAAAGTAGTATTTTTTTCTCTCTCAATCTTTTTTAATGACTAATAAAGGATAATCATTGTGGAAAAAAACACTATAATGCTGTAGGCTTCCTCTTTATGCACAATGATGTATAATACATGCTTTGAAATGAAACGGCAGCGGCCTTCGAACCATCCCATCTCTAAACCTCATTGTATTTGTTTAGCATGCCATAGTGAGGCTTTTGCATAATAATCATGAGTGTTCCTTTTAACAATGCTTGCTTCTAATTTGATCTTTACATTTTTAAAGTTTGTCCATCAGCCCGCTGAACAATGGGTCCCCCTGTTGCTCTTTGGTGTAAGTGATTACAGCGTTGGCTAATTGCCTCTCTGAAGAGTTGTTCAGTTTTAGGGGTTTTCTTGTCCGTGTTTCTTCACTTATGAACCTCCACTGGATTTCCCTTAAAAAAGAAAATATGAACCCATCTGTAAATTAAAAACTCATTTAGATTAAATATTTATTTCTGAAAAGTTGTTTTACCAGTAAGTTGCACATATTATTTATAGACATAGTAAACTTCTCACCCTCAGTAAACTGCAAGGTTTTGCTGACATTTATAGGTTGTTATAAAAGTTGTTTAGTTCATCAATAATGTTTAAAGAGGACATTCTATGCAAAACTCACCCTTTTGCATCTTTTTGTACTGCCACGTTGGCCTCTATGAACGCTCCAAACATTATCAAAATCCATCCATCCATTTTCTGTCAATGTTCGGTTTTAGGGATTATGTGCCTAAAACAAGCTGTTTTAAAAAGTCCCTGTTTGTGATGTCACAAATGGGGTAATTAGTGTAGAACCACCTCTCACGAGCAAGAGATCGCTGCTGCTGGAGGAGCAGCAGCTGTGCTCCAAGCTCCTCCCAGATATTCCAGTTACTCAGCTTGAGTGAGTGGGCGTGGCCAGCTCCAGCTTGTTTTCTTAAAGTTACAGAGCCCTGAAACGGCTAATTCTGGAAGGTACTGAAACTGTCAAAAATAAAATTGCTGAGATCACTTTATGTGAAAGAGATTTAGTGCCAAGAGCTTCACTAATATGTTTTGAATTGACCATTGACCTAGTGTAAGTTAAAGTGACTGTGTGTAGTTTCATGACGATGGGGGCAGTAGATACCTACATCGTTGCAAGCAAGCAGTATTTTTGTGTTGGAGTAAGACCTTACTAATGGATGCCCATTAGGGTCAAAAAGCCCTGGGGAGTGCAAACTTTAATAAAATGACAAGCACATCAGACTCCCCTTTCATCACTGGCAATGAGTAAAGAGGTAAATGTGTAAAACAACATGTAAGTATGATGAAAGTTTTGTAACCGCTTGTTACAAATCAGTAAATACATTTTGTCCTCATGGGCTCTCGTATAAGCAAATATGGCATCTAATATGACATCACCCAGAAACTTAGGACCCCCCCCCCCCCCCATGCATTTTAGACCTGGTTTTTATGGTTATATTTTACGAAGCCACCAATATTTATCAACAACTGGGCATCATTTCATTTGTTTTCAACAACATTTTGATAGATATTTCCAGAAATGAAGGGGAAAATTACACATTGTCTCTTTAAAGAGACTACATCATGCAAAATCCAGTTCTTGGAGCATTTGACCATGTTTTATTGTTAGTTCCTCATGAAAAACACCCTCAAAGCTGTTTTTGGCATCACATATTATGCTTCTTCAGCTCTGCTAATCTGTTGCAAAGCCTGCATGGGGCATGGTTGATCATCATGCCCCGTCCAGGTATACTGTCAAGTCTGAAACCCTGTTCACCAGTTTCCTTACTTTTGTTTTCAGTTTAGGGGCCAACTCCTTTTGCTACCTGTCAAACAAATTCAATTTGTTAATCAAATGGAGTACGCAAATGTTGTGCTGTGATCTCTTCTTGAGATGTGTGTGAGGTGTCCATCTTTATGCCATTGTAATTCTTGCCACCGTGCAAGCCGCTGAGCCTCAGGTCTTGCCTCAAACTGGACTTCATAGCAAATGTATTCACTCCAGCATCCAGTTACACATTTTCCCACAATCTTGGAACACTTCCTAAAGCTTTACTCTCTCTTTTCCCTGCAGTCGCTTTCTCTTTGACTCTTCTTGACAACGCGGGGAAACACAAGCACATCTCTGTAAACATGAGTGATGTGGTTCCAGAGTTTAAAAGCTTCACATAACACTGGCAGACGCAACTTGGGGCTGTTTGTGCGATGGAAAGGAAAACTTGTTTAGAAAACTGACAGCACTGAGTGTGAGAGTAAAGAACTGTGTTTGTGCGCTTTTGTTGCTCTTGGCAAGTTATTTGTTTTGTGTGTAAGAGCAAGGGTGTGTGTGTGAGCTAGAGAGAGCGAGAGAGAGTGTGTGGTTATCTTTTGACTTAGTTGGTTTGGAGCTGATGTCCACCTTCGGGGATACGCAGAGCATGCATTTCTGAGTATTTTCACCTGAGGCTGCACTTGTTAGAGTCTGTGTATAAATGTATATACATTATTTATACAAATTCAGAGCGAGTGAAAGCAGGTTTAACACATTTACAGACAGGAGGCCAGGCACTGCAAGCCAAGCTCCAAGTGAGAATCGCAGCGCTGTGCGCCGGGAATCGAGCTGGCCGCTCGCTCGTCTGTGACCGGCATCCTTAATGCTGCTCATCAACACGTCTAACGTTAGCCGTACAAACTCGGCAGTTAGATCAGCCTCACGTCACTTGTTTATTTGGCATCACTTTAAAATCTTATTACAGCAGTTTAATTAAACAAAACAACCTTACAGCTAGTGTTGCTGTACAGGGTTTTGTGCAAAGGTAGTAGATTGGAAGACTTATTGTTTAGTTTAGAGGGCATCTAAGGGAGGCAAACAGGAAGAGCTGCATAAAACACCAGGGAGGCTGCAGCTCAGATTTTAGCTGATTTATTCTTTGAGACACTATAAAAATCAACAGAATAGTTTAAAATGCCTAAAATCATCCTTCTGAAAAATATAAATACAATTTTTTTCTCAGTTTCAGCGCAATGCCAAGTTAATTAGTTAAGTGTTTTTAACTCAAAACCATCTGTATTTGGCTTCAGAGAGATCAACCTTTTTGCTGCTGTTGCTTAAAATGGAGCAGAACGTCTCGTTCCTTCATTACTTTTAATATTAAACTTAGAACTCATTGAAATAACTATATTCAGATAAATTCATTCACTCAGCAGCTATTTACGGTTTGATGTGCAAAAGGTAATGGTATCACCTGGTGAGGGTGAAGCAGAGGACCTTACAGCTAAACAAACTCGTCCTTTTCCCTCATCCAGAGGTCTCCTGCTGTGGAGGTGGACATCTTGCCATCTGGTTGTAGTCTTCACGTTCCCATGGAGCTGGAGTTCACCACTTCCTGCTTTCCTCGCAGTCCTGCACCTCAGAAAAGCCCCGGCCTCATCGACGTGGACTGATGCAGTTGGCGTCGTGTTTACTGGGGTTTCATATTGTGACTCGTTTGTAATTGGAACTAATGAATTGTGTGTGTGTGTTTTTTTTAATCTTGGTTACTTTATTATTTCTCTCTTCATTGAAAATATTGCATGTAATCTTTGACAGTTAAAATTTACCTTGATATGGATGTAAGCATTACTGCCTTAAATATGTTTTCAGTCTCATTATAATGTGTGTTTAATACATTGATGTTAATTTTACTTCCTTGTGTATTTTCCAGTTTCAGTTTTCAGATCAGAAACTGTCCTCTGTGTGAATTATGTTACTGTGATCCTTTTCAATAGATTTTCCTCATGCAGTCATTTATTTAGACAATACAATGTGGAAATTGGTTGATTTTTTTATGTGCTGTAATGTGTTTTTTATAATAAAACTTATATTTGCTTTCTTATTCCTTTATTTTGTTTTCAGTATTTAAAAATGAAACAGAAATGTGCAGTGTTAGTCTTCAGAGGAGCTGAGGATTTAGTGTTCTGATAAACGATAACTGAAATATGAGGAAAATAGAGAAACTCAGACCAGGACCAGGCTGTGATCAGAGCATTCACAACCACAGCCAAATAGATAAAAGTCACAAACACATGAATGGGAAATAAGTCTTAGACTAATAATTTACTGTTCATACAGGGTTTGCATTTCTATCAGTTTCCCTTTAAGTCACCAAACACGTCTCCCCTGGTCATTTATTTAGCTAGACCCCCAAAAAGAAGGCTCTAGGGCTACGAGCTGAAGGACTGGGGTGGAGTTCACCTGGAGGTCCAGGGCATCTGCAGAACCTCTGTGCAGAATTCAAGCAGATCAGGAGATGACTTAGATGCCCAGAGTCAGAAACACCTTCTTGAAGCTGGACTGAAGTGAATTTTCTGCACATTGAACATGCCATCAGATATATGATCATTCCATGACTTATTTATAAAATAATTGTTGACAAGATGAACCAATGAACATCACATGTTGTCCTGGGAGACGGGACAAGAAACAGCTGGATTAGAACAGTAACTATTGTACACACGGACAACGGAGGCGGCCATATTTAAGGAAACAGAGTCTAGTTGTGTTATATTTGGGCACAAGATTAGAAATCACAGCTCACAGGGGGAAAATGCAGTCTTTGGTTCGAGAGCAAACAAAGATCCGGGTGAGACAAACGTACGTGATATTTTACACATTAATCATTTAAATGTACACACGTGCATACGGACATTTAAAAGACTAGTTTTATTTCTTTTTCTTATCTTTGCTGCAGACCTGCATCTCAAAACCACTCAGGAAACAGAACAGAAAGCATGCTACAGTAAACCAATTTATTCTGGCGTGGACATCTCACGTCATGTAACACAAAGATGGAGACCCGGCGACGCAAGAAGTTATCCTCATTGTGAAGCGTAACCAGTGACGTACTGTACATCAAAAAGTTAAGAGTTGGAAATAAGAACAAACTAAAAAGGGCATTACAAAGAAAAATCATAAAACAAATGTCTGAATGTCAGCAGACGTAGAAATTAATGAGTCATCTTTGATTTTAGAGTCTCACGACATAATTTAAGTTGTGTTCAAAACAAATAATAAAAAAGGAGCACTGTACACACACCAAAGAAAACAAACAGGAGGAATCCTTTTTTTCTTTTTGTTAATTTCACCCCTTTTTTTAAAGGTAAATCACAGTTCTCTCCCATAGGACCACATGAATGTAAACACCTGTTGAATTACTCTTTTATTTTTTACAACATCATTATTTTATATATATATTTATATATTTGTACATGTTCTTATTCACATCTGCGCGGTTAGCTAGCATGGTGATGAGATAAGGCAAGACTCACATGACCGTGACATCACAAAAATTGTTTTATCCTCGTATAACACTGATTATAAAATTATTAGTAATTATCTTCCTGATTTTAAAAGCAGGGTTTGGTCTTTTCAGAGAAACGGGAGGATCTGTCTCCGTCTCCAGAATCACACATTGTTTAGTTCCAGGTTTGATGAGCCGATTAAAAATAACATTTTTATTAAAATGCAAGAAAAAGTCTGGAAATAATGATTTGTGTGACTTTATTTGGTAAGTTTGTCTAACACTGGCCTTGCTGAGGTACACAGTTAGGGATGATTCTGGGGATGTGGAGTCAGGGACAACAAGGTGACCATGAGAAGCAAATTACTTCAAATGCAGGAAAAAAAGTTTTTCTTAATAGTTTATTTGTTCATTGTCGGCAGTCCCCTTTTATTTTTATTATTTTTTTGCAAGCAGTACTCCATCTGTGTTGGGTCAAGCTGCGGTGGCGGATGTCACGTCAGAGTTCAGAAAAGCGACATCATGGTGGGTCGGAGTCTCTTGCCCGTCTGGCTGTGTGTCCGTCTGACTTTACGGTACCGGCAGCTGAAAGCCCGTTCCAGTGAGAGAACACTCCTGGACCCGTAGTCACAGAGCTGTCTGAAAGGTGGGATTCAGCTGCATTTCTCATCACTTCACCCTTTAAAATCAGCGCTTAAACACTTAGAGGGCCTATTGTTTGGGTTTTTTGTCCTTTTCCCTCCAAATGTCCTTTTTTGTGGGTTTAGTTTCTTTTTATACAATAATGGGATCTAAATGATGTCTTTATGCACAATGTGAGTCTTAAAAATGAGCTCAGTACAAATGAAAGTTTCTGATGCGTTCTGCTCTCCTCCCTTCTCATTTAACCGAGCCATAGATGGGGTTTAAGTTACAACGTGTTGGTTTTTCTCTTTGTTTGAGGTGGGGCTGCAGCGTGAGACACGTCCTTGCAGCTGCAGCTTCGGGGTGTGGAGACGGTCCTCCTCCTAGGCTCGTTTTGCATGCAGCATTTCAATGAGCAGGTTGTTGCAGGGCACGTCGCCGTTCAGGTGTTTGTAGTACAGGTACTCTTCAGCCTGCAGGCTGATGGCTCGGATCTCAGGCAACCGCAGGAGAAGCTGGCCGAACTTGTCCGTTTGTTGGGGATAGTTGCACATGACATAGTCCAGCAGCGCTGCGTTGACCTGCTCCTGGACACTCTCCACTAGGTGGAAGTTCTCCAGGTTCTTCACGTCTGCAGAGGAGAGGAGCAGAGACATTTTAATGAAAACGTTGTTTAGTAACAAGAATCAAATGAGCAACAGGATGTTGAGGTGCTTATGACTGAACACACAGTAGACACCTTTGTTCATCAGGACAGAATTAAAATTGTATTTCTTTCTTATAACTAATCTTCACATGTCTAAATGAGACACCTCCTCTCTTCTATTTTCCACTGAGCTGTCTCTTGGGACAGCTATATAGAGGGAATCAGGTGAAAGCACGAAGGTTCATCTCCTGAGACATAAAATCCCCAGGGCTCAATGCATTATGTAGGGCAATTATAGTCATGCTGTGTTTTTGTTTCTTTTTTTTATTCATCGCAAAAGACAGAATGTCTTCAGATGGTTTCCAAAAATGTTCTGAAAGTGTTAAATTTTTGAAGTAAGTTATTAAAAATCAGAGTAAAATTCACTTTGCTAAAAACTAATTCCTTGTGCAAAATGCATTGCACATCTTTCCAAAATCCCACCTTTCTGCACAGCTATAAGCACTTTTCCTTGACAATAATAAGCTCACTGGGGGTTTGAGGGGATTACTGCAAGACAAGACAAAAATTTGCTAAATGGATAATGGCAAACCAGAGCGCTCTGTGTGCTTGTCGTGATTATGAAGCGCAGAGTGCAGAATATTTAATCAGTCTGAAGCTCTGTGTGTGTGTGTGTGTGTGTGTGTGTGTGTGTGTGTGTGATCTTTTATTAATCTGTTTAACCCCAGGTCCAGTATGCTCACACCTGACTGTGACACAGCCCCTGTGTGTGTGTGTGTGTGTGTGTGTGTGTGTGTGTGTGTGTGTGTGTGTGTGTAATTGTGTGTAAAAATGAAATATCATGAGCCTTTTGACTTAATATCTGTCTTCTGCATGCATGGACACTAATCTGTGGACAAAGAAATAATAATTTGCTCTTTTTCATGGAGTACCCCCATCCCACACACACACACACACACACACACACACACACACACACACACACACACACACACACACACACACACACACACACACGCACACACATCCACCCACCGAGAGCATTAGGAGGAAGGAGGGGAAGATAAATCAGCAGCTAATGAGGTCTGGAGAATGAGAAGTAGGTCCTTCAAGGCACTTCCATCTATGATGCAGTCTACCATGCTATTACAATCTTTATGCGTGTGTGTGTGTGTGTGTGTGTGTGTTTGAGCCTGTTTTGCACTGTGTGTGTGTGCTCGCTCTGACCTCTGAGTGACATGGCGGGGGGCTAAATAAGGCCAAAAGGCGGGCAGGAACAGAGGGAGGGGTGTGGCCTGTGACAAAGGAGCCTCCAAACAAACATGACACGAGCATTTTCCTGCTGCCACTCAGCTGTCTGACCCCCCCTTCCCCGTCAGGCTCCTTGTCCAGCGCTCACACCACTGACACCTCAGAGAGGCGGGAACGTAGCCTTATGTAAGCGAACCCTGCACCGTGTGCTTTTAGCATTTACTCACATACGTCCTACGCAGGTCAACCAGGCAGGCTGGGATTGAGGGGGAGGCTTGTTTTTCATCCACGCACGAGGGAATGGCACAGAGAGAAAAGTTTCTGAGTTGGGAAATTGTGAAGTTGAGTGTAAATAGTGGAAAAAATGTACAAATATGTTTGATTTGATAATACTTTCTGTCACAAGATTCTAAAATATGACAGGATTTCATCTGTTAAAAGTCTACTCCACGAATCTGCTTTTCCAGGACAGGAACAGCACTTTCCGCCAGAAACAAACATTTTTGTGCTGTTTTGAATTTAAGCTGGTTGCTACCAATAAAATGAGTCAGAACGACACTCAGATGCACATTTTCACCTGTGAGTTTGTGCTATGTGCATGTGAGGAGTTTATTTAAGAAAAAATATAAAATCAGTGTGGACATCTTTGTCAAAATGAAATAAAGTGAAATGCAGTAAGAAAGAAAGAAGAAAGAAAATGAGTTGTTATAAAGTGCCTCTCAAGATAATAAAATCACAAGGTGCTTCACAAGAACAAAAAATTCTAAATACAACAAAAAATATTCTTCAATAAGTGAATTTAAAAATAGGGTTACAATTAGAAATAAGAATAAAGAATTGTGATAAAAAAATACAAGGAATGAGAAAATGAATAGGAAAGTGGGAAATCAGTGGATCCCGAGACGGGTGGAGTTGGTAGAAAGAGCAGAATAAGGAGAGGGAGGTGATGAAGGTCATGAAAAAGCCAGCCTGAACAGGGGAGTTTTCAGCTGTTTTTTAAAGGAGACCACTGAGTCCACTGATCTCAGGCTCAGGGGGACAGAGGTCCAGAGTCTGGGGGCCACAGCAGCAAATGATCTGTCACCTTTGGTCTTTAGCCTGGTGCTGCACAACCAGTAGGCTTTGATCACTGATCAATGCAATACTCAGCATGTGTGCAATAACAAAATTACATAGTATATTTGTGTCCCTTACAGTATGCTGCATAGTTCTGGAACCCAAGTTTTTCATTTTTATTCATGGTTTTTAGTGGTCAAATGTCACATTTGTAGCTTACTGCCTTCCGTATGTGTATGTACATATACCTAGGTGTTTGTGCTGCTGTAACAGGTGAATTTACTCACTGTGGGATAAATTCTATTCTATTCTATTCTATTCTATTCTATTCTAAAATAGTGTTCTTAAAGCAATTTTAGAATGTTTGGTAAAATATTAACTTAGGGATTGCGTAGCTGATGCTATAAACAAAGATGTTCATGTTAAAGAGAAATTTGTCTGATTTCAGCTCAAATCGCTACCTATAAAGAGCTGTTTTTATAAACTAATAAATAAATGTCGATTGAAGACAAAGAAAAAAGGAAAGTTAGTCTAAAAAGAAAAAGCAGGATGGACGAAGGATTCCCAGACAGTGTCAGGATGGAGTATTAAATACACTAAGCACTCTCTTCTCCACCTTCAATGCCTCGGTCCCCCTCCTCCTCCTCTCCATCTCATCCTTCAGCCACTGTGGGACTAATTATCAACTTTTTTTTTTCTACATAAAACAGCCAGTTTGTCAGAGCGCTGTGTCCGAATGCTCAAATGGAAACCCTGAGGTCTCAAAGAATACATCATCTCACTCCACGGCTGGTCGTGCCACCACACACACACACACGCGCGCACACACATGCACGCACGCACACACATTGGAACCCCTGACATCTCCGTTGTGCTCTTTAATTAGAATGGATCTGCTCTGCACCGTGTGTGTTTGTCTCTGCATGTGCTCTCACACACTTTGACGACCCTCACGATCAACCTGCTCCAGACACACACACACACACACACACACACACACACACACACACACACACACACACACACACACACACACACACACACACACACACACACACACACACACACACACACACACAGCATTCAAAGACTGAGCTTATTGACTCAGATATTATTCCACTCTGATCTAGAGATGCCTCACGGAGAAGACAATGTGGTATGAAGAAAAATCCTAAACTGATGTCAGAGTTCACTGAGCTTTGTGATGCCGATAAGTTTACAGCTTTGAGAAGTCAGAGAAACATGGCGTCACACAGAAGGAGACAAGCTCATAAAGATAATTTAATATTCTAATGAATTTTTTTAAAAAAGCACCTTAAAGTTGAATAGTGTCACTCTTTGCTCTCCCTTTGAGGTTCTGACTGAACACACCTTAGTCCTATTGCCTAACTCTGAATTTTAATAATAAAAAACAATCATGAATGTAAACATAACTATCTTATATTATTAGTAATTATTTTACTATCATATTATTTATGCTCAGCATAATACTCTTACCGCCCTGCAAGACTGATAAAGGCAAATAAAAATGTTTATATTGCCTTTTCCTTAGTGTGGACTTGAATTAATAATTACATAAAAAGTGTTTACTAAGAACACATTTATCTCGTGTGACACCATGACTTGCCCAGTCCTCTCCACAAACAACACTATTATACAGTCAGCAACCAACACATTCTCAAATGACCCCACGCTTTCTCAGATTACACTTTTACTGCCGTAATCAATAACCCTCTCAGCCGCACGCTACCAGCACACACCCAGACTTCCACGTTGAGCGGCGCGGGGTTTTCTTCCGGGTCCAGAAATAACACATAAACCTCCGGAGTCATAAACTAGGGAGCTGCTGTCAGTAAACTTGGTCAATTAAATGCGAGTGGAAGGCAAACAGGAGACTTCCTGCTTGGGTGGGAACCTGGAGCTTAGCTCTTCCAATGGGAGCCCTTCGACCGCTTTAATATGAGACTATCAAAGCTGAGGCAGTTTTACTGCTGCAGCGGTGCTTCAAAGAGATGAACTTAAGTCCCAGTGAGGTCTCTTTATTACGCCCTACTGGACTGTTATCAAGTCAGAACGGCTTTGCTTTAGTCCTCAGTTTGGTTTCAACTAGAGGTGGAAACCTGATTACCTTTGACACTGAAAGCATTGAGTTTGCACAAAGGACCAACAGTAGGCTGGTGTGTGGCTGCAGGTTCATTGGAACGATGTGTGTGAGAAAAGAAAAAGGGCAACAGGTGCAACCAGAGTAAACAAGGGCCACAGGGCAAGGAGCAATGGCCGTATGGTTAACAATAACTAGCTTTCATCATAGTTTTGTTTCACATGAGCTCAGATATAGTGACGAGCTTTGAGTTCTACCCTCCATGACCTCACGCCACCATAAAGTCATGCGGCACACAAACAGGCTGCAGATCAAAAGCAACACAGTCCTGGTCTATCTGGGATCCCGCTCCCCAGAAATCACATTCCTCATTTCTGGTTGATCCCATTTGGGGAATTCACTTTCTCAACTGTGATGCCTCAATAGTTAAAGAGCAAGTCACCCCCAAATCTACTTCTTTTTTTTTTTTTTGCTGATAAACTTTATTAATGAGTGTCTAACTGTGCTGTGGACACATGTAGTCAACAATGTGGCACTTTGGTGAATCTTAGTTCAAACTAAAATATTCTCCCTAAAA